CGGGCACAGTCCCTCAACGATACAACGCGTTGAGGGACTGTGTCTCGGGAAACGCTACTCTTTGAGCTAGTTGTTGAGACTCTCCTGAACAGTGTAATAAGACTACCTCTACATGTGCAACATATATAAATTTGGTTTCTAAGGATTCTCAAAGATGAGTTTGTTTTTTCGACTTCAGCTAATTTCACCGGCTTCGCGAACGGCGTTCCACGGCAGCTCGCGCATAGCCCATAGAAATACATTGTACAGTAGCGCGCGTCCAAGAAACGTGGAACGTTCTTTAGACCGGCATGATGTGTTTTCATCTATTACTCTTCTTACGCTGCCTTGAAGTGTAAATTTATGGACAGAAATGATTTTAATAACTAATTTTAATAACTTTTTAATAGTTATGTGACATGTCATCATCAGTATATTGAAATAATTCATACACCGGCACGTCACGGTGATTGACAGTCCTTGCAGCCAATCAGGGACCGCGTTGTATCTAGCGATTTCTTGGATTGAGGTAGAGATGCAGTTTATTTGGCTTGCCTTTTAATTGAGTAATTAGATAATGAAGATGGTATTATATATCCACCATGTTATATGCGTTTTTGATTATGGGTCAAAAATATGCTTCTTTCGGCAAAAGTGGTTTAAAAAAATTAGCTTAAAAACTTCAAGTCCGTTTGTGGGTAAAATTACATCACTTGGTATGCTACTAATTCAAATGCGTCCACTCATCTCTCTAACGGCTTTCAAAGTCGCACAGCGTGACCTCAAAGTTCACTCTTTTCTATTTTTGCATAATTTATATATCTATATTAATTGCGGACTTGTTATTTTTGTTCCATTCGCCGTAATAAACTATCCGGACGCATTTTGAAGCGGGAGCACCTTGTCAAAAATATGTGAAAATTTCAAGGCAAATGGCCAAAGTCCCGGTGTTGAGGGACTGTGATTAAATAAATGATATAGAGCCATGGTGTTTGAGTTTTGAAAGTTTGAGCATGTTGTTGAGAGGGTGGAGTTATTGTAAGTCGTAAGGTGGATGCGTTCCTGGCTCCTGTATGGCCAGTGTCAGCAGTTGGTGGAAATTATAGAATGATTCTATCTCAAATAGGACGGTGTAAAATGACAAAGGGCGAATTTCAATACACCGTGAACCATACCAACAACCTCACACACTCCATCATGTCATTTTGTCATCTGTTTGAAATATTGTTACATTTTAATTGGGAGATTTCCCGTGATTTCATGACCGCCTTTCGTCAACGAAACTACCCTACGCGGTATCTATAAAAGAGCTATGACAATTCTTATTTTAGCTGAGTTTTCACGGTGATCTGACCCAAATTGTAGAAGTATACCGGGTATTGCATTATACGACTTGTGCTCAAAGATCTATGGTTGGGTGTGCTATTTTCTCTTTAATCAGACCTTCAGTAATAAAGTTGTTTGTGTCTGTATCATGTTTAAAGCGGGAGGGTCGTCACCTGCGTATGTACGCGTGGGAATTGAGTTCCAAGCAAAGGCTTATGGGTAGACGCTTGTTTGTAAACAATGACACGCTGGCCATCTGACGCATATGCAGGAAACAATACACGTATCTAAATATGTTTGTCAATATTAAGCGACGTAGCTAGCGGTTCTTTAATCAACGTATAGTGTATTTGAAACACCACACTTCTATGAATGCAAACAGCCATTTATCACGGTGCAAAATGAAACAATTTATTTGCAATTGAAAATTCGTAAATATACTAATTTATAAATAGCATATCCACTATGTTAAAGGATGGAGGTCGTCTCGCAGCGCGTGTAGAATTCCATGTGAGCAAATACGCGTTGTGTACGTCGCTGTGAGTCCCATATCGAACAGGACGCGGCGCGACGACCACCGCCCTTTAAGTATGAAGAAAACTGTTTCTGAACTCCGACGCCCGGCAGTCATTTACCACGGATTTGATTACCGCAAATGAAATGAAATCTTGAGCAATATGTAGTCGATTTTATCTATAGCTAATTGATATACTGTCACGTATAGCCCACATTGGCTGATGAACTGATGCTTAGTACCAGTCACCCATACCACTACCACTACCACTACCGCTCTCCGCATACCAATTCCCTGGCACAGAACAACAAAGGTATAAATAGTTGCAGTAGTACACTATATGTATTATTAGAGATTAACACAAAATAAATGTAATATTGAAGTTCAATTAAAGTGAGAACATGGGGTAGGCAGGTATACTGTATACCATTCTCAACCTTGCACCATGGCAGTATTTCTTCAAATTGGAATTTAACAGTATAGGGACTCAGCGCATGCGCACGCACACACCAACTAACTAACCACGTGACTTACCTTCATCCTCGTCATCGGAATCTGGTAACGTGAAGTCAACTCCCCGTAGCGCATCACTTATAATGTTTGTTGTTTCCTTTAGCTTTTCTTGTAGGTTCTTGATAATTACGTTCGATGTTTCACCGGTCACATGACCAACGGTTCCATCCCAGTGACTGTTCAATTGAAAACAATATGACGTAGTAAGAGACTCTGGACATTTAGTAACATACAGCATCATCGGTGTACCTCAGACTGCATCTGACTTAAAGTTGAGGGTGTCGCCACATGCGCATGCGCGGAAATTGAGTCCCAAGCAACGATAACAACGCGTATTAAAATCGCAAGGGCTCATGGGTAGACGCCCGTTTGTAAACAACGACACGCTACGGCAGTCTGCCACATGCGCAGGTGACGACTCCCCCGCTTTAAACAAATCCCACCAAAGGATCAGCTCCAATCAGAACAAGCCGCTTTCCAGAAAGGCATGTTCCAGTATGAAACGCTTTAGTGTGTTGAAATGTCTCACAAGAAGACAGCGGCATGAATACGAATTGCATATGTAGATGCAATTAGTTATTTTTAATGAGATGTGATCACACTGGTGGTCCGTCATACTCCACCGACCACACATCAAAAATGACAGTATCTTCTGTCTACATAAGACTGATATTACATGGGGAGTAAGTTGGAAACATTCAAACAAACAAACAAACAAACAAACAAACACAAAGTTCAATTGCAATTCATAAGCCATCAAATATAAATAAAATAAAACAGCTATGTATCAAATCTGATTGCATTGTATCACCTACCCAACAACATTTTCACCATCCCAGCAGTCCCCTGTCACTTCATTGACGGTCCCAGGGG